ATATAAATATATACATGTGAGTGTGTGTTGTGTGAGTATGTATGTGTATATATATATAGTTTTCCTTTTGTAGATAAATTATATTTTGTTTTTCTTATACTTTTAATGATTGTAATCTGGTGTTTCATTTATATCTTATGTAGGTTTTTCCTAGTGTAAAAAAAAAATTTCAATTTTCTAAATAGCACTCAAACCACTAGTATGTCATGTGTAAGATTACTGCAACCACAAAATGTAATTTATCATTATGATATGATGTAATGTACATAAAAAAAAAATAATAATAAAGCATTAAAAAAAAAAGCTACTCTTCAATCACTAATACTCGTACCCTTAAATATGACAGATTGTAATATTTCTCAATATAGAACGATAAAATCTAATAAAAAATTTCATGAATTTTTTTACAAGAATTTGTTAAATTATATTTCATACATAAAATGGCTTTCAATGTCAACACTTCATTGTGATTTTTCTGATGTACACTTAATTTACTAGAATAGCCTCAGTGAAGAAACAGTTCTTATCTTTGAAGAATTTTGCAAATTTATTAGGTCACAACTTAAAGTCGCAGAAATGTGTTCCTTCTACGTCAAAAATCATACAGCCTAAAGTTCAGCAAAAGACATTTTTAACCAGAAATAGACCATATAATAAGAATTTTTTTTTTTTTATTTTAATGAAATTTACAACTGTATTACAATAAAAATACAACAAGTAAATGTGACATTGGTAACATGATATGTAAAACAAAACTCCAGTTTTGAAACCATTCTTCAAGATTTGGGATGTGTGATTGAAGGGTTTGGGATGCAATTGTTGGGTCGTTATTAACTGATAAGACACATGTATTATCGGCATACGTGGTAATGACAGTGTTAGGATGGGTTGGAATATCAGCTGTATAAACTATATAAAGGATAGGACCTAGGATATTACCTTGAGGAACACCAGCGGACTGGGAAAAAAGGGATGAATACGCATTATTATGATCTACTTTGAAAGATCTATCAGTTAGATAGGAACGGATAATGAGGAATTATGTAGGGTGTAGGAATTTACGAAGTTTGTAAAGCAGTCCTGGGTGCCAAACTCGATCAAAAGCATGTTCTACGAGAATGACTCCCGTGCAGTACATTCCGCGCTCCAATGCAGAGGAGACAACATCCACCACACGATGGCATTGCTGGATAGTGGAGTGGGATCTGCGGAATCCAAATTGATGATCTGGGATAATGTGATTAGAATGTAGGATGGAGTACAGGCGTTTTAGGATGAGCTTTTCCAGGATTTTGCCTAGGATGGGTAAAAGGGAGATAGGGCGATGGAGGATGGGTTTTCTGGTGGATTTTTAGGTTTATGTATCATTTTGATAATAGATAATTTCCAAGGGTCAGGAAAGTATGTGAATCACAGAACAGCATTATATATATATAAGTAAGGAATAGGATGGCTTTCCGAGGAAGCAGTTTTAGGATCTGGGATGTAATTAGGTCGTGTCCAGGAGCTTTTCGGGAAGGAAACCTTTGAATGATGTCGGATATTTCTGAAGGATGAAAGGCTTTAGGTGGAAGAGACATTTGGAGTGGGATATCAAGTTCTGCTTCAATACATTCAAAGTGATTTGGGTTAAGAATATCGGGGTGTGGATTAAAGGTTTTAGAGAGGTGATGAGCAAAGATTTGTGATTTTTCTTCATCGGATTTGGACCAGGTTTGAACTTCAGTAAGAAGTGGATGATTACAGTCTTTAAATTTCAGGAGCCTTTTAGTGGTCGTCCATAGTGATTTGTCGGTAGGTGTAAGTTTGTCAGTAAAATTTAGTAAATTTTGAATTTTGTATTTTCTAATTTCAGATTTTAGTTTGTTAATCAGTTGAGTATAATGAGTTTTATCTGTTGGATATCTGGTTCTAGGCCACTTCGATCTTGCTCTGCGTTTTTCCTTCAATAAGATACGAATATGCTGTGCCAAGTCAGTCTTTTGTGAATTGTTAAACTTATTAATAAAGGTGTTATTATTTATACTGTCTGTTATTGATGCTGTCAGTTTTTCAATGGCACCATTAATGTCCTCTTTTGTCTTTAGTGGAATTTTTAAGTCTAGTTTGTTTTCCATATCATCACGAAATTTTTCCCAGTTTACTCGCCCTGTAATCAATTTAGGAGGTGATGGTTTAGGAGCATAGCTCGAATGTAGTGAAAGTAGAACTGGACTATGGTCTGAAGAAAGGTCATCAAGAGATTTGATTATGGTTTGTGAGGAGATCTTGGAAGTTGTAAATACATCTAGGATATCGGGACGTTTTTTGAGAGATGTTGGCCAATAAGTAGGACTCATGGGCGAAAGGATTGAATAATTGTTGGAAGATGAAACACGTGATAGGATGTTACCGCGGGGGTTGGATGTTCGACAACCCCATCGTTGGTGTTCAGCATTGTAGTCTCCTCCAGCAATGAAGCGCGATCCGAGAGATTGGAATAAGGAATCAAGGAGATTATAGGAGAGGGAATTACCAGGAGGACAGTATACAGCTTAGAATGTGAGATGGAAAGGGCGAGTTGAAAGGACTACAGAAGTTGATTGAATGACATCAGTTGGAGTGGAAGGAATAAGGGAATGGGGTAATGATTTATATATAAGGATACAAGAACCGGCATGGGAGGTGTTGTCTAGGTGATCAGTTCTATAAGTGAAGTAGTCACGTATGTAGAAATGTATTCGTTTAGTGAAGTGAGTTTCAGTCAGTAGAGCAATGTCAATGTAATTATTATGAAGAAATAAGTCAAGTTCGTCACGGTGGTTACGTAGTCCGTTAGCATTCCATAAAAGGATAGTTAGGGGCTTTGTGCTCATCGTTGGAAATTGAACGGAATTTCGGTGAGGATTCTGGTGAGAAGAGTGATAAGTGGTTTTATAGTATTTTGCAGGTCAAATAGGAAGGATGATAGAATGGAGGTTATGTCAGATGGATGTTGATTGTATATTGGATTCAGGATAGGTTTTTGAGGTGGATTAGGAGTATTAGCTGAGGGCGGGATCCGTCGTTGTGCACGATTTGGGTCTAGATTGAAAGGTACTTGTGCTGCACTTTTTTTCTGGGCGTTAGGATGGGACTGTTGAGGAAGCTGCGGCGGTAATTTGACTCGTAAGGGTATATGATGAGGGAGAATTTGCTGACGTTGAGGGTGAGATTGGGGATTGTGAAATTGAGCTTTGCATTGTGAGATTTGAGGCGCCTGAATTTGAGGCTGCTGCTTCTTCATGGTGATTGGTGTTTTCTGAAGTCCTGCTGAGGTTGATCAATTTCTTTTGAAGTAGACGCTGGCTGTGTATTTTGAGTAGACGTTTTTGGCAATTCAGGAAAATTTGACGGATTATCAATTTCAGGTAGATGGGTGAAACTTTCTTGGTTCAGTTTTACGCTTTTCGAGGCTATGTTCTGAGTTCTCTGCTTATAAAAATGTTTATAAACTTTGCATCCTTTGTAGTTTGCTGGATATTCTTCACCACAAACGGCACATTTCGCAGGCAGGTCTCGAGGTCTCTGACAAGTGTCAGATGCTTGGGGGCCGACTAAAGTTTAACATTATAAAATTAACAATAATAATATAAAACAAATATACAAGCGAAATTGCCACATGACCGCTAAAAACCGTATATTCCCTTTCCGTTCTTCCCTTATTAGTCCCTTCTTTCCAAAAATCGGTACTTTTTTAAACCGCCGCGGGACGAGGGAAAATTCTTAAAAATCGGGACTGTCCCGCCGTACTCGGGACGTCTGGTTACCTTATTTATTGCTTATACTTAAAAATATGTTAACAGAGAAATTGAATATATCACTTATATTTGAAGGCTTGAGATAGTGAGATGAACTTTAAATTCTCCGATGCTTCAAATTTGCCACGGGAAATGTGATAAAATCTTAACTTAAAAATGGAAGGGTGCACATGAATGATTCATAAAATTCTAGGATATGTAGCTATATATAATTATCTTTGGATATAAACTGAAATTTCAATAATAGGGATATAAGGCGTGGTAAAATACTTACGTTCCAACTTCCAGTCCTCATCTTAGGCATATAATCAACTTTTCCTATGTTGATAATTGATTTTAGTTTAAACATTTTATTCATTCAAGTAGATTAATTGTTACAAATTTTGATTTTACATTTGTTCTTCAATCTCAATATTAGTGGGGTGAAACGATCGATATTCTCACCCCCTCTCTATTTTTATTGCGGGGGAGGAGGGGAATTCCCCCCTCACCTATAATTCAGCGCCTAAGGTTAATAGACTAGGAGCTACCGACCATTTCATTAAACGGAAGGACTATAAGCTAGAAACCATTTTCAATTCTAGACAAACCTCATCTAAACACACAACTTAGGTCAGTCGGTTAAAAGCCATTGCTTTCTATGCGAAAATTTAACGGAAGAAAATATGACTGAAATTTTAATATGTCAAGAATATGTCCCTAAAAGAGAATTCACCTTGACGGCATCAAAGTCATCAAATTAGGCCCAATCGAATGGTAGTTGGGTGAGGAAAAAAATCAGATAGTCTGTTCTCTTCGGTTTTCTACGTTTTTTGGAATGATGAATATATTTATAAATGTTGTTTTAGAAAAATATTGATTAAGTTGAAAGATGGATCGTTTTTGTCTATTTTCAAATGAAGCTTGGTTAATCTATTCAGTTTTTTTTACTAATTATTATTATGAACAAGAGATGGTCCATTTAAGTACTAATATGGTGAAAACTACGAGAATTATACTTAGTGAGTATTTAAACTTATATCTAGCATCTGTTAAATACCCTTTATGGAAGGAGAGCGAATCAAGGTAAAATTTTGAAAGAAATTAAATTAAGAAAATGGTTCCCTTTTGTTTTGAGTTGGATAAACACTAGTCTATAACTATTATCCATTAAATACTTCCTAACAAATAAGAGGGTTCAGAAAGGAAATTTTTCAATAATAAAAAAGAATAGAAGTAAATAATATCAATTCTATGCTATATTTTCTTTAAAAAAATAAACACAATATAGTTTATATACAAATCTATAAACATAGTCAAAGAAAGATGTATTAAAACATATTTATGTTCTACTTTTATAACATTCAAAATAAAAAATATATATTATAGAAGCTCAATTCACTGTTTAAATAAGAACATGTAACTCACAGCACAAAAATAATGTTAAATTAAACAACACAGTCAAAGAGAAGATCACAACTTATGGCTAAAAAAACTAACTAACTTAGTTTTTTATACACCTATCCTATTCTTATAATTTTATAAGAAATAAGTGAAACAATGACAAGAAAACATATATTTTTCAGTTATTAAAACAATGTCAGATCAAGCAAATATTATATTTATTTTTACAGAATGAAAGAAAAATCATACTGCCTTGATATAATCAATAAATTTTTCATATAATGTTATGTAGTTTTATGTACAATTCATACTACTTCCATGCAAGTTATTAGAACTATTGTTCTAAAAAATAGTTATGAATATGAAGGAAATCTAGCAGATGAGAGTATAGGAGTTGCTTCAAACATATGTTCCCTTAAAATAAAACAAACAGGAGGAAATGGAGGTCGATGGGAAGTAAGTTTTTTCTGGCATACAATTCCTGCTCGAATGACTAAAAGCCAAACTATTCCTATAATGAAATCTGGAACAAAGCATTAAACATATTTAATTAATCTCATTCATCATATCCAATCTAAATTTGTTTAGTTCTAAAAATTATGAAATAAATAATTGTGATATAAAAATCATCAAACTGTTGATTGAAATGAAATAGAAGTAGGTGATTTTACTTTATAATATTCAAACGGTCAAATTCTACCAAATAGCATAAGAACATTTGATAATGATGAAGTAAAATTTAAACTAATTAAATTAAATGAAAAATAGTAGGAACTCTTTTATAAAATTTAAAATATAAGAAGGATTTAAAAAATCTCTACACCGAAAGGTAGAAGAGATTATCGAATTAAAAGAAGAAGGATTTAATATGATCAGTAATCTTTTGTTTCTCATAGATATTGATATCACTTTTTAGGTGAATCTAGGCCTTAAAATATTGGAATATTATAAATATTGGAGAAAACATATACTTCATTAGCTTAAGTCTCAGTAAAAAGTCCGGACATTAGCATGTGCAAAAATACACTATATTTTATATTTCCGGCTCTAATGAAAGTAAAATAAAAATAGTTTAGTAACACAATATCCATATTTTCAAGCATAAAAATTAGTTCAGTTTATAAATAATTAAAATTACATACAACATAAATAACCATTAAACAAGCAAACTAAAATTAATAGAGCTTGAAAAAAAAAAAAAAAAACCTAACAACAGTACAAACCTGCAATTTGAATAGGAGGTTTAGTTAATGCTAAATTAAATCCTTCAACAGTAGCTCTGTTAATAACATTAACAATAATATACTTAAAGGTTGTTCCAAAATAAAAATCAAAAGGTAATATTATTCCATAAGCGCCAATTGTGGCACATGAAATTATATTATATTTTACAGGATCAGTTGTTGAAACTAAGACAATAATGACAGAAATTGTAAAATATGTTAGCCAGTAGTTCAAATCATTTTGGAAAATGGTTGCATCACCTAAAAAAAAAAAAAAATTGAAAACTTTTTTATAACTTGATGAATAAAATTAAGTTATTATATTTCATTTAATATCTTATTATAATATCAAACCCATGAAAATTGAAAAAATATGAGACATCAAAGAGGAAATGAGAAGTCCATTCATAACAAACGATAATCCAACAGATAGTATAGGGCTATTAACACACCACCACAGGCTGGTCCATAATATACCACAAATAAATCCAATGCCATTGCACATTAATAAGAGATCTTAAACAAATAAATAATAAAAGTACGTTTATAGAATATACAAAAATATAAAATCTCAGAGTAAATATTTTCGATTAGCATAGTATATTTAAAACAAACTAGTAAATAATTTGTTGTTTAAAAACTAACCATGTGGGTCAAAACCACTTAATGATTTTTCCTCATGTTTTGGGAAAAGAAGCAATGCATATATTCATAACTCAACACCACTATAAATGAGATAAAAAAAAATTGATTGTTAGTTTTGGGAAGAAGTGTGTTATGGTTAGCTATTAATCATAATTCCTTATAACTTTAATTATGTGAACCAATGAACACTAAGAAGTTTTTTATAAAATAATTTGATAAACATTGGGTCAAAACTGTTCACTTAATATTTGCATATGCCATATACTGTTACATACCATCTTCATTTCATATAAAAATATATTCATTTGTTTTTCTTTATTGTCTTAAAATCAATCAAGAAACAAAGAATAAATGTTCTATTCATAAAAAAATTAAAATTGTTTATATACATTGGTTACAATACCAATATGACATACAAATATAAAATAAATTAATACACACCACCCTGTGACGATGTTTGATGAAACAAAAGAATGTATGATAACAAGAAACCAAACACTGCCCCTAAGACAAATAGTTCACCCATAAAATAGCGATGTCCTCCAAAACATAGAAATACGCATAACATCACAAATGAAGCTAACTGTATTTTGAGTGCCACTGAATCTAAATAAAAAAGACTATTAAATAATATATTAACGACACATATAGAACACATCGGATCCATTTTAACATACATGGTTCCAAATTGTTAAGAGTATCATATGGAAACAGAGCTGATGGTGTATAAACTGCAACATTTCCAAATTTACTGAAAGCTATCAAAGAATATATGGATCCAACACCATTATAACGGCTGAAAATTCTTCTTGATATAGGCCCTTCAATCGGTTTTGGAGCCTATAAATAATAAAATGAAGTAAATTTTTATAAATATACATAATTGAGATAAAACAATTAAAAATAATGTAATCCTATAAATGGAAAGACAAGTAGGAGATTACCTTCATTTTATAAAATGAGGATAAAAAAGTTATCTATGTAGTCACCTACTATTTAATAATGATTAAATAAGAAATATGTTGATTACAAATGATCAACAATCAAAAAGAATTGCAATGACTTAATTTTGTCAGTTTTCAATAGATTTTTATAAAACCTTCATTCACATTTAACTATCTATTAACTTGTAGTACTTATACATGGTCTTTTTAAATATTTAAAAATATTAATTTTAGCACTTAGAAAACTGAAGTTCTTAGTACAAACTAGAAAACTGGAGTTCTTAATACAAAATGACTTATTTATTACAAGTGTAAAATTATGTAATAGTGTATGTAACTGAGGCGGAAAAAACATGGAAAGTACAATTTAAGCATTATAATAAAGCTAAAACTTAAATAGATGAAAGATAAATTAAAGGCATACTTAAAAATAAGGGATAAAGTAATGTAATGAAAACAAAAAATCTCCTTCCGAGAACAATAATGCATTAAAACAAATGATATGTTTTCTTTAATTTAAAAAATCTTCTATAGTTTATTTTTCAGACGTATATGGAAACTAAGAATTATTATACTGATAAAGAGATTACCACATAAGAACTTTTCAAAATTCTTGGATATGTCAACATACTTCTAATAGATTCAAAATAGAATTGCACTGAAAATTCATTCTGGTGAAGAAATTTATAAAACATAACATAAGATACGTAAGATAGACTGCTTATGTCACACTTCATAGATAAAGAGGCAGGAGGTCCATCAATAGTAATCATGATATAATTTGTTTCCAAACTAAGATAGGGAGAAATAGGAACTGGTAGTTCCATATTACAACCTCCTGGTAGAGGACCTGTAATAACAAATAATAGTGGCTATTGATAAAGTATCTGCCATAAAACAAATAGGAAATCACAACATTAATGAATAGTTACTTACTCTCATTTGTATATGGGACAACTGCTATCATGCACGAAACATTGAAATCATACTGGTTTTTAATATAAAAGTAAGCTGTGTTGGAGGCATTTGAATACAAGCCAACATTTGTTCCATTGACATAATTATGAGTAGACAGTACAGAGTCATAACTCAAAATAACACTCTGAAGAAAAGAATGCACTTGAAAGATAACAAAATCTACATATGGAGGGATATTGCTCAAAATAGCTTTGGTTTCAGAGAAAGGTGATAACTCAATTTCAATGTCCAGATGGTCTTTGTCAGAGGATGAAAAATTCTTGAAAGAAATTTCAATTTCTGAGCCTAAAAATATACACAGAATACTTACAATATTGTAAGAAAATCATAAATAGATATTAAAATACATTCATAAAGTTTTTATAATAGCTTGATGATTTATCATAGTCCTAACATCTGCCCCAGCGTAAAGTTCAGTTGTGATAAACTAATTGTCTCAATGTACTAATCTAAATAGTATGATGGGTGATAAATATTCAGAACACAGTCTTTACTCATCACCTCAACACCTCATCTTCACCAATCTCCCACCCCACCATGATTCGCCAATACAGTCGTATCTCAAAAAATCTGTAACTTCCAAATTCCCCTATCTACACATAGTTTTAAAAAATAACAGAAAATTTACATTTCTGTTTGTAGAATGAAAATAATTTGTTAACTAAAATATTTAAGATGTATACAAGATTTGCATTGTTTCTTATAGTTACAAAATTGGGACTACTGGCTTGTAATGAAATAATAATAAATAAGAGGTGACTTTCATTATAAACATAAAATATTTTGAGTGAAGGTATACAACAGTTAGCCAAATAATGTTTACAATACAGACAATTGTAATGAATTGAAATGCTAAGTAGTACAATATATTAAGAATAACAATATTGATCCTTAAAAAGCTATTATATTAAGGATTATATATTACTAATAGTATAAGTATAAAAATATCTGTGCCTGTTTATAGTAATTTATATGTATTTTCATTGTGAATAGTTATATCAATATGTTGACAAGGAAATGGGGAAAATGAAAAACAATTTTTAATTATTATAGACTATTGTTTGAGGAGGTGGAAAATGTTCGAATATATATTACAGATCTTTTCTTTGTCTACTTTATGGTTTACTGGATTTTTTTTTCCAAATTAATTAATATAGCTTCCGAAAATAGTTGTTTTTGGTTGTTGGGAACTGTGGCAAGTATGGTTGGGTTTTCAAAATCAAATGTGTGGTTAAGGGTTATGGCATGTTTGGCTAGTTTCGAGGCGAACGGGTTGCATGTGGAGATGCTGTATTTGTGTTGGAATGTTCATTTTTTAAAATAATTTTTGTTTCTCCAATATAACAAGAGTTGCAGTTTGGGCTGGAGCATGTGATATGATATACTATATAAGATTGTTGTAGGAGTGGAACAGGATCTGTGACTTTGATGTACAGATTTCTTAATTTGCTGTTACTTTTGAAAACTATGTGTAGATGGGAGAATTTGGAAGTTAAAGATTTTTTGAGATAGGACCGGTATGTATGGAATGGATCTGTATTGGCGAATCATGGTGGGAGATTGAGAGAGTTTTTGTGAGATATTGGTGAAGATGAGGTTTGCATTAATTTTTAATTAGGTTTGTTATTATGTGATCAGGAAAGTCGTTAGATTTCAGGATCTTGTGTAGTTTTGTTAGATTATTGTCGTGGAATTGCGGGTCAGATAATGTTAGACTGCGATGTATCAGGTTTTTTGCAAAACTGATGTTTGGGTTGAAACGTGGGCACCAATAAAAACTTTATAATGACTGCGTCCAGAATATTTATCACCTATGATATGTAAAACAATCGATAAACTTCTTTCAATAATTCATTAAATAGTATGACTATTATTCAAATAATTGAAAATCCAAGGACGTAAATAGATCATATATTTCATTACTTTGGCAGCAATGAATTCAACATCTACTTAAAAATGAATTATACAGGTTATCCCATAAATAAAGGGAAATATTTTAAGAGGTGATAGCAGATTTCCAGAGCTACAAAAAAGTTTATATAAACTAATGTATAGTCTGATTTCACAAGGAAATTTAAGTTTTATGTGCTTTTTTAAGGTAAGTGACATTTTCACTTTCATAGGAAACGATAAATTGAAAAATACTTAATTTAGGCAATTAACAATTGGTTTTTAGTAAACTAAGAAAAAACATAATCCTTGACTCCCTGGGAATCATCCAACACCATGAGCATGGGAGCGGATAGAGAGAGTTTGTTCATGGAGGGGGGAAGGCATGTATATATTACAAAATTTTTATATTATTTATTGAACATGTCTGTCTACTGTATTTGTTATTTGTATACATTAGTTTTATTTATTTATTTTTATTGTTTATACACTTTTTTTTTCTTGTCATTATTGTATAATTGTTATTCGAAAGTACTAATTCATACTTTTTAATGACAATTATATTATTAGGATTAGGATAAGAGAGGAGAAAATATGAGGAGGAATAAGAGAAATGTATAAGGGGAGAGAAGGGAAAGAAAGGGAAATAGAATGTTAATGAAAGAAATAGCGAAAAAAAATTGTCTTCTATGCTCATATATATTAATGATACTGTATATTTCTCTCTCTCTCTCTCTCTCTCTCTCTCTCTCTCTATATATATATATATATATATATATATATATATAAAAAAAAAAAAAAATATATATATATATATATATATATATATATATATTTTTTTTTTTTTTTTTTTTTGAAAATTAATGCATTCTGCCGCATTGGAGGGCATTAATATTAGGGCTACATTAAACATTCACACAATATATACATACAAATGATAAGAGTTTAACATACATAGGAAAATATATATATATATTTATATATAAATAAAACAAGAGAAAACAAAAAAAAAAAAAAGAGAAAAGCTAAATGAAATTGAAATATATAAAACACATTCATATCTATATACAATATTTACATTTGCCCAGAGGATTCTGAGTCATGCTTTGTCCCCCAAATGTGGAAGCCAAGGCAGGACCCCAGGAGATCCCAGTGCTTCTCTCCCAGCCGCGTCACTGGTATTGCAAGCCAGTGGAGACTGATGGAGGGCACTAGAGCAACATACGCTCAGGACATGAGTGGAGAATCTGGCCATTGCGAGTACTCCAATATATACATATTTACAAAAGGTCGCGGGGCCACTGCTGTTTTAACCTCTGGGGAGGATTGTAGGGATGGCTGGAGCTAGATAGGGGTTGTGCTACAGGATTTGGATGATGAGTGAGTTTCTGGTGAAATTTGGAAAATTTGTCTGGGATTAGGTCAATAACAAATGGGATATGAAGGTCATTATGGAGGGTTTTTTTGGATACATAGAAGGGAGCATCGACTATTGGTCAGAGGACTTAAGACTGAAAGGATTGAATGCGCTTAATGTTAGAAGATTTTGTTGACCCCCACAGCTCTAGTCCGTAGGTCCTGATAGGTTTCAGGATTGTCTTGTAGATTAGTAGTTTGTTGTCGACTGAAAGTTGAGATTTTCTATTCATTAGTCTATATAGCTGTCAGAATCGTCTTTTAAGTCTGGTATGTGGGTTCCACATTAGTCTTTTATCTAAAAGAAAGCCAAGATACCGGACTGTGTCTGAGAGAAGTGGTATGGATTTGAAGTAGACTGGTGGACATGACTTGCGCTGAAGGGTAAAAGTGATGTGTTTGGATTTGGATTCATTTACTTTGATGCACCACTTATTACACCAATGTTCAATAAGAGAAAGGTGACTTTGTAGGTTTGAGGATGCTGTTTTAGGATCTGGATTGGAAGATAGGATAGCTGTGTCATCAGTGAATGTTGCCAGGAGGGTTTGGGGTGAGCAGGAATATCAGCTGTAAACAGAATGTAGAGGATGGGACCCAAGACGCTGCCTTGAGGAACTACCGCCTCAATTGAATGGCAGTTGGAGAATTCTGTACCACAACAAACTCAAAAGGAGCGGTCAGAGAGGTAGGATCGGAGTATTAGATATAAGGACTGGGGAAGGTGGGTTTTGAGCTTGAAGAGTAGTCCGGTGTGCAATACGCGGTCGAAAGCTTCCTTAATGTCCAGGAATGTTCCCGAGCAATACTCTTTGCTTTCTAAGGCTGAGGTTATGTGGTCAACAATTCGGAGTCCTTGTTGAAGGGTGGAATGCTAGAAATGAAATCCGAATTGATGGGGAGGAAGGTTTTGTGATTCTATTATGGGTAGGATTCTTTTTAATAGGATTTTTTCAAATATTTTTGAAAGGATTGGGAGTAGGCTGATTGGTCTATAGGATGATGTGTTATTGGAAGGTTTGGCTTGTTTCAGGAAAAGGACGATGGTGGAATGTTTCCATAAGAGAGGAAAATGGGTAGTTCTTAGGATGCAGTTGTATATATATATGTGAAGAATATGATCGCTTTGGGTGGTAGTTGATGAAGGATCTGTGGGGTTAGAAGGTCGTATTCAGGAGATTTGCAGGAAGATAATTTTTGTAAATGATATTTGACCTCAGAAGGATGAACTGTTTTTGGTGGTAGGGAAAGTGGAATTGGTGAGGAGAGGAATTTTTCTACTTTTGTTGTATGGATGGAATGGGATTCAGGATGAGGAGTAAATGTACAGGAGAGGTGTTTGGCGAATTCCTCAGCTTTGTCTTCATCAGACGCCGCCCAGGAGCCATCGCCTCGATGTAGGAGATGGGAAATATTTTGAGATTTTAGAATTTTTTTAGTGATATTCCAGAGTGAATTGTGAGCGGGGAGGGAGGTAAGGTAAGAGTTAAAGGATTGGGATTTGAAGTTGGATAATTCTTGCTTGACTTTTTTAGAATAATAATTATAGGAACGGCGATCTGTGGGATGTCTGGTGCGTTGCTATAGCACTCTGGTACGGCGTTTGGTTTGGATTAACTCGAGGATGTGTTGAGGTAACTTATTTTTCTTAGGAATTATTGGGGAATGATTAGGGGAGGAAGCAGTCCCGACTGCTTGTTGAATGGTGGTGGTAAAGGAGTGTATAGCATTATCAAGGTCTTCTGGGGTTTTCAGGGTTATTCTGAGGTCAATTTGTTCGGAAAGGATTTGATGGAAGAGTTTCCAGTTGACTGGACCTCTGATAAAGGACGGTGCAGAGGGTTTAGGAATAGGAGCTAGTGATACTTGGAATATTAATCTGAAATTAATATTGGAATATTTAGTCTGAGGAAAGTTCAGCGAGGCGTGCAATGGAATAGTTGAGGGAACCTAAACCACTGTGGATGAAGAAATCAAGG